CGTGTGAAGGGCCACTTCCGGAGCTTCCGGAAGTCTGTAGTCTTGCCCCTTCGTCACTGTAGCAGCTACAACCTTGACCCTTCAGGACTGTACCAGCTACGACCTTGACCTTTCAGAAATCCTACAGCTACGACTTCTAGAACTCACTAAGACTTCTATTCGACAGGTCTACAGATCGAACCCCTACAACCTACGGACCCTACGACAGTCTACCAACTGTTACGAATACACAGGTCACGGGTTCAACTCTCGGGGGCGAAACAGGTAGTGTACACAGGTGAGGACTAGGGATCGAGCCCTGGGATCTGCATCCGCCACTGCAAACAGGTGAATACCGTTTCAATGACGGTCACAGGGCCTGAAAAGTAGGGCAGTAGTAGTCCAGGTTCAGGGCCTGCGGGTAGACATCCTGCAATGATGTTCCCGCCAGAAAGGGGTAAACACCCGATAGGCCTAGCAAACCCAAGTGAGGCGGGAAGAGCCAGGAACTGCCCGGTCGAGACTGGAGGCCGGGCAGCAAAGTATATGATTGGAAGCAATAAGCGGTCCGGTCCTTCACCCAGCCAGCCTTCATGCTGCTGCTCCACCAAGAGGGAGAAGTGGCAGAGCTCCGGGAGGTTGAAGGTGGCGCTGGAGGGAGGGACAAGGACCTCTAGCTAGCGAAGCTATGGAGATGTGGTAGAGGTTGGAGGAGGAGGAGAGAGCTCGAAACCGGGAAGGAGGCTCGCCTTTGGCCATGGTGGACTTGCATCTTCATGTACAGGTGCACATGCATCTCTCTCTCCCATCCCATCAACAAATCATCGTAAACATTCCATAAAACATAAGAAAGCATAGGCGGGCAACATAATGGAAGGTACAAGGTTCCCCTCTTTTGTGTGCAGAATCAATGTCCGAATCCCACTTCTACTGCAGGCACAACATGAGGTCCACCATAGCCATGGCCACCCTTCCTCTTGCGGAGCAGGCTGGAAGTGCAGTCACCTACCCATAAATGCCATAGCCAGGACTTCTATGTTCACACCAGGTGCAGCGATGTCATCCTCTGGGCAGACGGCGCCGTGCTCTTCTTCTATCCAGCGAACAACATCTGCGAAATTATAAAGGATTACAATTGTAAGCAAGGAGACATACATTAATGGCATAGTACACACAGCGCCATCGCTGTAGCGCTATGACATTGTCTGATTCCGCAGGTTGTGTGGAGGATGCGTTCACGGCAGGCGGAGAATCATTCGATTCTGCCCTGGTGGCGGAGACTCGTTGTGGCCTTGACCAATTGGCTCTGGTATGTGCTCCGGAGAGATGATCTTCATCCGGGGGCTCCATCAGGTAATCAGGAGATGGGTCATTGTCATTTGGGGCTGGGGAGCAAGCGGGGCTAGGTGGATGAGAGAGGGGCGGGTCAGGTGGGTGAGAACTGGGTGGACCAGATGTGGGAATCGGAAGCTGATCATCCGCACTTGTGCTCAGGGCGGCTGCTAGCCGTGCAAACGCAGCACAAGGCCGCTGTCTTGGAGGTTCCCGTGGATACGGGGAACGTCTCCGCCGAAGAGGGATCTGTAACGATCGATCTGACAGCGGATGCCTCGGCCGACAGGGCCTTTGTGACAGCCGATCTGACCATGAATGTGTTGATGGTGAGGTCGATGATGAGGAAGTATCGAACGGAGGGGAGGAAGAGGGAGAAGAGGTGTGTGTGTGTGTGTGTGTGTGTGTGTGTGTGTGTG